TCACTTGGGGAGTGAATCATCGGACGGAAGATCTTCCTCTCTGTCTCTCCTCCTCTCGGTATATCTGCCTTTCCAATACATAAATAAATCTTCAAAAAAAAAAAAAGAAAATAGCTTACTTAACATTGTCCCAAAACATAAAAATTGTATTATTACATTTCTATCCTACAAAAATTTTAATACTCATACATGGTTTGAGGAAACATGGATGTTTCCATTGTTTTGTAGATAACTGCTGGAAAATCTGAAAAGTTTGCCCCCCAAGGAAAGAATGAATAAATCATTGGAGCACTCAGAATGAAAATGGACGATGTTATATGCTCGTTCCAAAAATGTAGTGTTTCCTTAAAAATTGCTTTCATAATTTGCCTAAGTGGTTACCACCATACTATACTGTTGACATGAAAGTATGCTAGAATAAGTTAAAAATAATATCCCTACAAGAAGGTTTATTCTAAATTTAGCTGAAAACACCACTGTTTATTTAGCTATAGAACAGCCCATGAGAATCCATTGGTTCTTTAGTTATAGGCATTTCTTGTATATTGAGAACTTGAAGAAGGATTATATAATTATAAATCTCTTTAAGCATATATCAAAGGAGCTTATTGTTCTTTAATGGTAAGAATAGAAAAGGCCAAATGTAAAACAAAGCACATATTGTGAGTCAAAATGTAAATATCAAATCATTTCGCTTTGAAATTGGGCATAGTGGTTTCATTTTATATCTGAGCTTTAACAACTGAAATTTCTTTTTATGTCCACATTACACTCAAACTAAATTAATAGATGTAGGCAGAGACTGTGCTAGTTTGATTATAAAATCAAAAATAGTGTTTCTAGTTTTTTCAGAAAAAAAATTGGTTCAAGCTACCAAAATGTATCAGCTTTTACAATTTAAACCACATCGAGCCTTTAATTCATAAATGAATAAGCCATATAATGAATGTATTAATTTATATGCATTTTTGCTTTTGTAACTGGAACTACTGGTTAAAAAGTGTTAAATACCTGTGTGAAAAGCATACAACGCATTCATTTCAACATCTACCCTCTGATTTTTTATGACCTTTACCTGGCAATTTTAATTGGCTTTGATTATGTAAATTATACACTGACAACCCAAATTTGACACTAAATTTCAAACTATATTACAGAAAAAGTTTTTCATCCTTAATTCTTGATTTCCCTTTCATTGTTGTGCCTATGCTGCTTGCATTGGGGTGTGTGTGTGTGTAGTGTAAATTGTAGGTATGGAAGTACAGTTTTACAAGATAGCAGATGGAATGATTATATCCATTTGCTGAATGGTTCATGTCCACATATTAGAAAAGACTTCTCTCCCTCTCAAAATAAGAAAATTTAGACATCTCAAAAATTTTAAATTAAAAAAAAATTAAAAATCTTGAGTGAGACTAAAAGTAACTTTTCTTGTACATTAATAGTCATTATTAAATGCAACAATAGTTATAAAATTATGTATTTTGCTCAAAATGTTATTTCTTGCATCAATTGGTTTAACTTTTGGAAGCATATAACTAGTTGAATAAGCATTCCGTTTTTCCAAACAAAACACATGAATATGTTAAACTGTGCAAAGGTTATTCTTTTGAATTCAGTTTAATCAAGACTATTTGAGGATGTAATCACAACACACACTTTCTTCTGTTCACTTGAATTTGCTGATTATCACTCTATTGATGGAAAATATATATAGATATATTCAGTGGGAGCCACTAAAATGTTACTTGTAAACATATCCTTAAAGTGAATTTCTTTCTATCTGATTGATTCTTTGGAACTGCAATTGTGGATGTATCACATGGCAGTTTGCAAATGTATTTTAGTAGATATGTCCAGATAATTTCCCATTTATAGAACTTATTTGTCTGCAGCGTTATGCATTAAAGTGTCTTCCAGTCTCACAAATCTCAATGTTTGCAATCTGTTGTATTAAAAAGTATGGCTTTAATACAGTAGTTATAATTTTCTGTGCCTGAGAGGTCGAACATGTTTCCTTTAAGTGTAGTTATTTTGATTTCCTCTCCTGTAAATTGTTGATTAATTCTGTAATTTCTTTTTCTAGAATGTTTGTGTTTATGTGTCCTTAATTAAATCAAAACATAGGTGTTTATTGGACATTTAGAAGTTTATTTTAATTAGAGTAGATGTTTCTTAACTTATAACTATTATTTCTTATTACGATTCCACTTTTTATCTAAAAATATTTAAATTCTACTTTTTTTTTAAAGATTTATTTATTTTTATTGGAAAGGCAGATATACAGAGAGGAGGATGGACAGAGAGGAAGATCTTCCGTCCGATGATTCACTCCCCAAGGGAGCACAATGGTCGATGCTATGAGCACAATGGTCAATCCAAAGCCAGGAGCCAGGAATTTCTTCCAGGCATCCCACGCAGGTGCAGGGTCCCAAGACTTTGGGCCGTCCTCGACTGCTTTCCCAGGCCACAAGCAGGGAGTTGGATGGGAAGTGGAGCTGCTGGGATTAGAACCGGAGCCCATATGGGATCCCGGTGCGTTCAACGCGAGGACTTTAGCTGCTAGGCCATGCTGCTGGGCCCTACTTTGTTGTTTTTGTGATTGAATTAATAAAACTTGTACAAGTCATTTTCTTTTTAAATTCAAGAATATTCATACGCTTAAATATTTTAAGCCTAAGCACTACTTTTCGAGTTAGAATTCTTACTATTATAAACGTATTTCTGATGTCTACTTTGAAGAAATTCTACTTATAATACTAAAATTATTATAGACTGCAGAACAGTGGCCTTTTTATTATCTACATGTTGAATTCTTTATTTAGTGAAAAATTATGTCTGTGACTATGATGTAATTAGAAAGAAAGTTACTGTGAAACTTAAATGAGAAAAATAAAGAAGGAGGGAGGAAGCAAGGAGAGAAATTCACACAAGTTCTATATATATGTATGTATATATATATGTTATCACTGTTCTCTGTATGAATGGAATTGAAAAGTTACTAGATAATAATAATGCGATATGCAGTGGCTTTTCAAATCTTATTATTTTTTATTAAGTTTACCAACATTTTTCACTTGTTTTACTATACGGTATTATTCTTTTAAAATCCAACTTATGTCAATTTGTTTGCTGTCATATCCACAAATTGTTTTTACCCAATCAATCGTTGTTTTAAGTAAATATAGAAGTCTAAACTTAAAGTTGTTTTTCTTCAGCATTCTTTTTTTTTTTTTAAGATTTTTTTTTTTGGGGGGGAAGGCAGATACACAGAGAGGAGGACAGACAGAGAGGAAGATCTTTCATCCAATGGTTCACTCCCCAGGTGGCTGGAGCTGAGCCAATCCAACGCAAGGAGCCAGGATCTCTTCCAGGTCTCCCACGTGGGTTCACAATCCCAAAGCATTGGGTCGTCCTGGACTACTTTCCCAGGCCAAAAGCAGGGAGTTAGATGGGAAGCAGAGCTGCCGGGATTAGAACCGGCGCCCATATGGTATCCCGGCACGTTCAAGGTGAAGGCTTTATTCACTATGCTATTGTGCCAGGCCCTTCAGCATTCATTTTTAAGATGGTTGTTTACGTTTTTATGAGTCATACAGATGGACAGCCCCCATTGAGCAGTTCACTTCTGAACTGTGTGCAACAGCAGGGACTCTGATGGCGAACCTTAGGAGCTAGGAACTCAGACCAGATTGCCAATGTTGGTGCTAGATTCCCAACAACTTGAGCCCTCACCCTAGTTTTCCAAGGTTTATATTAGTAGGAAGATATAAGAGGCAACGGAGCTACACTGAGACACCAGGAACTTAGCAACTGCACATGGCAATCTCAATTTGGTGGCCTAGTTCTTCTCCCCTGAACTTATATAGAGAATCTTAAATTTACATCTTTCTGGATGCTATAATTTTGCAGATTGAATACTTGGCTTTATCTTAGTTTTCCCGATTTGATTCTTACAGTATATGTCATCTTGTACTCTGCATGTGTACTAAAGGTAAGCCTAGATTTCTGGTTTTGTGACTATTCTGCCTAGTTCTATAGCTAGAAGAAAGGCTTACATGTGGCTTTTACAGGTTAGTAGGTAGTTTTTTTAATTGTTTCTATTCCACCTGTGAGACAATCTCCTAATTTCATTGGTCTTAGGCAAGAGAGAAAAATATGCAGTTTTTCATTTCATATGGTCATGAGTGATATCCTGATCCTATAGATATGAAAAATCTGATTGCATAGCACTGAATCATTTTAGCTTCTCTTCTGATTAATATTTTAGATTTCCTCTTTCTGGACACAGAAATTGAAATCCAGTTACATAATTAGTAAAGAAAATTAATCATAGTTTCTATAGAATTAAAGTAGAAAAATGAAAGTCCTCCCAAATCACCTTGGTTAGCCATACAGGTCTGATGTTTCCCCATTTCAGCTCAAGCTTTTCCGAGACAAACATAAATGTAAATTCTCTATGTGGCTATAAATAGTCCTCTTATGACTTCATTATTTAGCGTATGTATTCTAATGTAATATTTTTTCACAGTTAATACTTGCCATTCACATATTAATTTAGGGGCTTTATATGAATATGTGCATACTTAACGATACAAGCACTAACATTATTCTCACGTTTCTTACTGCTGCCAATACATGAGAAAAATAAGAGTTCCTGTGTCTTGTATACTACTTTTTATTCTGTCCACTAATATTTAACGAATGCTGACTATATTGTGAGCATTATCTTAGATCCCATGCTATTAGAGAATAAAACCGAACTTTGCTCAAGTTTTCTTCATGCTTACGATGAAGGAGATGCTTTCCTTCCTTGGGGAAGTGATATGTCAGAAAAGGTACAATCCATCCATGCAGACTATTTCGAATCTTTCTTTCTGAGAGTTTGGGTTTGCCTTTCAATATCTTTTGCAGACCGCACTGTTACTAACACTCTCACAGGGCTTTTTTTTATGTTGATGAGTGATAATGAAGTTTATCTTGTCTCCACTTTTTGACAGCTCGGTCAGTGGAGCACCTTTGGATCCCTGGATCTCGAATTAGAAACACAACCTTTCTCAGTGGTGACAGAAGAGGAATGTGAAATCCTTAAAATCTCTGCTAAGGAATATGAAAAATTAAAAATGGTAAGACCACATATAACCTATATACTCATACAACATAAATGGAAATTCAGTCTTAGTTCTTCCTGTTTAGAGAACAATGTCCACATTGGTTTTAGGATTTAAATTTAATTTTATCTTTAAATTATAAGAATGTGACTTTTATAATATAAGTATCTACTGGCAGTGGGTATCTGAAATAGAAACAAATATCTTATGGTTGTATTGTATGTATATTTTTGACTGTCCTTTGGTTCCTTGTAAATTTCCAACTTCCTAGTTAATGAACTTATTCAGAAGATATATGTGTTGGATTTGAACAGTATTTCATTTACCAGGAAAATTTGATAATCCATAGACAGGAGCATTATTGCTTTGAAAAATCCACAATTTCCTTTGCTTTAAAATGATTAACATGTGCATCATCAAAATTCAGAGCTACATTTATAGGTAATCACAACTGAATTCTGACTTCCTGTTTGTTCTCCTTTACTATGGTTAATTAAGCTAAATTTGAACAGTTTGTTTTCTCACTCAAATCCGGTCAACCCTCTCTTTTAGTTCTCCTTCCCTGACAGAGGACGTCTGTACCAATGAGGGGACTGGGAAGCTCTGTGGTCCTGTTACTCTGGCATTTTTTTCTTTTTATGAAGGATTTACTTACTTGTTCAATCATTTATGTTCTCATTGAAAGGGCAGAGGAACAGAGAAAGAGGGAGATATGGATGAAGAATAGAAGGAAAGAAGGAAGAAAAACAGAAATGAAGGAAGGAAGGAAGGGAGGGAGGGAGGAAAGAAGGGAGGGATAGATGGACAGCGGGAGAGAAAGAGAAAGAAAGAAAGAGAAAGAAAAAAGAGAGAAAGAAATAAATAAATAAATAAATAAATAAATAAATAAATAAATAAATAGCTATTTTCTGGTTGACTCCAAATGTTCAAAACAGTCAGGGATCAGGGATAAGCCTGACTCAAGGAAGGATATATTTGAATTTCTATGCAAGTTACTTAGTTTCAGAAATTTGATAATTAATTTATTTTCAGGAAAAGATAAAACAGGACAACATACAGAAGTTTAAGTTAATCCATAATTGTCCATATTATGAAGAGTGGCCTACTTTATCCATAAATGAACTAGTTATGCTCATTAAATGGAAAAAGTTTCCTCCAGGTCATGGTGAGTTTACTGCAACTTTAGATCATTTTATTTGTATAATCCAATATTAATGGAATTTGTAATTGTTCAGTTTTTGTATTTTCAATATTTATTCATACGTGTGTTATATAACATATTTAAAATAATTTAATTTTATTTGTTTTTACTTAAAAATTATACTATAATTACTGAAACAGTGATTCCAGAACCCTCCTTTGTTTTACATATTTGCACGGACCCTGTACTTCTCCTATCCTACCCTGACAGTTGCAATAAGGACCAATTTGGGAAAGGAGAAATATGCCCAGAGCTTATAACCATTCTCTTCCATTCTCCTGCTTGTGCAATTACTCAAACAACACATTTGCTCATGCAATTGAACTACAGATTTTTCAGTAGATAAAATAAAACTATAGACTAAGCATTTTTTATCCAAAATTCTTGGATCTAGAAGTATTTTAGATTCATACTTTTGGTAAATATTAGCATACAATGGGATAACCAGAGCATTAGTACTGAAGTCTAAACACGAATTCATTTTGGTTTCATATGAGTATAGCACATAAGACTTGGGGGAATTTTACACAGTATTTTAGTGTACTAGTTAGACTGTGACTTCTCAGGTTAGATGCTGAGTTTTCTACTTGTGGCTGTCATGTTAAGCATTTTCATAGCATTTAAGGTTTTTTTTTTAGATTTTATCTTTGGATTTAGGGATGCTCAATTAGTGTAGATAAATAGAGGCTTGATAACAGGAAGCAGCTGTGACACATCAAATTTTCAACATTCATCCTGGCAAAGATGTCTAAATTTCTTGGGTTTCGTGTACACAAAAATATCGCTGGCATTGAATCACATGGAATGATTTGTCTATTCGTGAGAACCAACTTAGCAAGTGATGCCAACACAGGAGAAAGCAGGTGAGGATTAGTGAAAGCTGCAGATTTTCTTTAGTAAGAAACCACTATTGTCTCACAAAAGATAGCCTCAAGCACCAAGGAGGATTAAAACTTACCTTTTTCTCTTCAGGTAGATCAGTAAAAGGGCTACTAACTAAGTTACAAAGGAAGAGAAAATAGGAGACAGAAATTCTTTCACTTTAAGACTATGAAGAGCTCATTGTAGCATATATGGTCTAAATTAGTTGTGATATTATAGTTCTGAAAAGAATGGATCTCTGTTAGCTTTACAGAAGGAGACTATTATAATAAAAATATGGTGAAGTTATGGAATATAATTTGAATATTCTTTCAGCAAATCACTGTATAATGGGAATAGTGAGGCTCAGCCTTGCACAGTGTACAGAATTTGTAATTAGAAGCAAATACCTTTAGAAGAAAGTTTGTATTTCAAGAAACCAGGATAGCTAAATATTTGAGAATTGCAAACATTTATGCCACATGTTTCTAATCCTCCTGTTTTAAAATTTTTATCATTTCTAAATTTGCTGCCAGTTATCATATGTCTATTTAATTTATTTTTTGAATATAAAGCAGGTAAGCCATATTTGTTCAGTAGATTCTATTGCTTATAAAATTAAATACTGATAACATTTTTATTCATATATTTTTCCTAATGAGATGTAAATGTGATTATTTTAGATCAAAACTCCATGTAGAGGACTAGTAGGATTTTGACTTTCTAAAATTGGAAATTTAGCATTTCAAAGTTCACAATACTGATTTATGAACCATTTAAAAATGTAGATTTTTTAGGTTTGTCATTGATTCCTCTTTGTATCATAGATATCAAATACCGATACTTTACTTAATCAGGGGCTATATTGTGTACCATTTTGGAAATGATGAAAAAGAAGGAAGGAAAGCATTTCAAATTAACCAGAAGTGGAAGAATATGAAATTTGAGATTGTGCGTGTTTGTTTCAGCATGTTTTGTTTACTCATAACAGATTTGCCAACTAAAATATCAGTTAAACTACTTAAATTTTACTTCAAATAACTAAAAGTACTTGCATGCTTTCTCAGAATTCAAGTTCTTTTATTTCATGCATTTCATACATGTGGATTTAAGAGCATCCCACCCCTTACCTGCCTGGGCTTCCAGCATCTGTCCTTTCCTTCTTATTTTTCTTCTAATTTAAAAATAATACAGGTTCAGTTTCTTTTATCATTGCAGTTTTACCCTCCCATAATAAGAAATTCAACATGGAGATGGTGGTTCTGCAAAGCTAGCTATGGCCTTGAAAATATGTGATTCTATTGTACAATCTGGACATTTGCATTTTCCCTTTCCTTCCCAAACATATGATTTTGTTGTTATATATTTACATAGTTCTAGAAAAAACCTTTATCCTTCTTGAAAATCAAAATCAGCTTGTGGACATCAAAGCACATTTCAGCATTGAAATACTATTATTCTTACAAATAAACATATATCCGTACAGAGTATGTCCAGACAGATTAACTTGAATTTCTTTTATTTTAGTGACAAATTTTATGTATCAAAAAGAAGAACTGTATAAAATACTTTCCTTCTTAAGTTTCATTTGAAGTTTGGTCAGAAAATACAGTGAATATTGCTGAAATGAAACTTTGATCAGCTAGGTTTAAAATTAGCAATAGTATAATTTCTAAAGCATAATTATAAATGCTTTGATCTTACTTTAGAAATAGATATTGGAAGATGTCTCAAAGAGATTGTTAATTATTTGAAAGCTTAATAGACTTTATGGTTAATCCTTGGCAACCTATGATGTAAGAAAAGCTTGTTTCTGGGTCTACTTTCCTTTTTAACATCTGAAGTCCTTCTATTCTTGCTTCATATGCCAGAGGAGTCAAACTATAATGGTTGCATGCCAAGTGCTTTGGTCTGTCTGATTTGTATCACAGCATCTAAAGTTTTCCCAGGTGTTAGTCCTTTAAGGTAAAACTGGAAAATCATAGCCAGCTTATCTTAGTACCATATGTATCTGGAAAAACTGGCAAATTGGTAAGCAATTCAACATTTAATGCATATTTTGTTGTTATCTTAATTTTGTTAGTAAACTCCATGTCATGAAAATTAAAGAAATAGAAAAAGTTGTAGCAGTCATTTTAGACCTGATGCATAAATTTCTGAAATATTAATGATGACATTAAGAATCATAGTAGAAAATATCTCTCATCATCTCATACAAAAATTGAGTGCTACTGATACTGATTATATATTTTAATGTGCTTACTAAAGGAAGTTAGATGTTCTGAGGTCTAAATAGCAGCATCTTTTGGATAAAAGTCTCCTATCATTGAACTCTACAGGGGATCAAAACTGTCCCAAGATATTGAGCATTTCAGATCCTCAAACGTGATAGTGATGTCTTTTTTTATTTCTATCTCTTTCAATTGTATATTCTTAATACTATCTATATAGCATGTTAATGTCTTTAATTTTTATTATATTTTTCCTTAATGATTGCTATACAGCTTACCACATAAGTCTCTTAGTAGCATGGGTTTCAAATTTCTATGATTTTAATTCCAGTAGGATGTACAAATATTTCTCTTTTATAGTTCTGTCTTCTTTACATTTCTTATGTGCCATTATTATTATGTATATTTTATTATATATATATTGAATCTGTATATGTCTCAACCCTAAAACACTTTATTAGTATTTTATAAAATTTTTATTTTAAAAAAGTGTAAGTGGGAGTTTATTTCAAAAGGTTGGTGAAAATTCATGTTATGAAAAAGCAATATATAGATTACAAAATACTGCATAAAGATAAAATCTTTCAAAAACGCTTCTGCAGCTATTTTGTGTCCCTGAATGGCACACACAGGAGGGGTGGGGCAGTGGAAGGAGTAGAGAGTGAGGAGGGAAGTATTCAGAGAGACTTTCCATCCTCTGATTCATTTCTGCATGCTTGCACATAACAAGCTTAAAGCAAAGCAAAGGCCGGACTCTAGAATTACACATGGACCTCTCAGGGGGTGGCAGAGACACAAGGGTGCAGCCTTCGTCTTCCCAGGCATCATGATTACCCCCCTGCCAAAAGCTCATCTCAAGGTTATTTTTAAATTAACTTTTTTTTCTAATAAACTATTTGAAGTGCCCTTGCATGGTTTTCAGGTCTCAGTTGAATTCTCTTGTATAGATTTCAAGACAGTTGATCAAACAGTCCTTCAAGGTCAGAAGTCTGCTTGTGAGTATTGAGCAATAACACAAAAGTGTGTACTCTGAAGTATCTTACACATTCATACGCTTGGATATGCATATGTATACACAATGTATACACCAATGCATGTAATACTCCCACACATATGTACATATATACATGTATATAGATGTAGATCCTGTGTATGTACACTGTGGAACACTACTTAGCCATAAAAAAGACATTCTATCTTCTGCCATGAAGTGAATGCAAGTGGAAATATTTCCTTAATGAAACATACCAAAGGACAAAAACTGTACATTTTTTTCAGAGGGACATCTTGTGATATGATTTTCATTTTTAATCATTACTTTACTCCTTAGATATGCGGTAGTCTTGCATTTTACTTGTTTAATTATGTGGTTAGTGTTGCATTAAGTCTCTGGCTATAGAGGGGATTAGAATTATGTCTGCAAAAATTAAAAAAATAAGAGAAAGGAAAAGAGGGTGTTTAAGAGACAAGGATGGAAATATGTGTATCACCTTAGAACTATGAAATACATGAAATCAGTTTTCTTTTTATTAATAAGCATTTAAACATTTTTTGGACAATGTAAGAGATCTGAAAAGGTAAAAATTCTATGCAAACAAATCTGGTAGAGCAATATGAATGATGATTGAAAGCACAAAGTCATTTAACAAGCATAACAGTTAGAAATGCAGTTTTGGTAGTGTGGATGTAGAGATACAAGACAATGGTTACTCTAATTTGAGAAGCACTTTAATTATTCAGAACTGTTATGCAGAATAGGGATGTCTATTCTCTATTTCTTTTACTATTTTGATAGGCCAAAAAAATGCTTGCCAAAAATCAATTCACTTTTTAATCCTATGAAACAAGGTTATTCATTCACATGTCAACAGA